CACAGCTTTCCTTCTGCCTCCCATGCCAGGCAGTTACCAGTGCTGCCCGCCCAGGCCTTGCCCGTGGGTGCTTGGCACCAGAGAAGACCTGGTTTTATTTAGTGCCTCACCTGATTTGTGAAGACCTTTCCCAATCTGCTGTCGACTCCTGGCAAACACCCTGTGCCCAGCTGGCAGCACACACCCATGACTCAAACCATCCTGCAGGCCAGGGTAGTTTCTGAGATTGTCACTCTTTACAGGAGTAGAAAGCCTTGTCTTTCTCCCTCAGAGCGACTGGTGGTTTTGAACTGCTGACCTTGGGGTTAGCAGCACAACAGAAAATCACTACACCACCAGGGCTCCTAACTATCCCTGATTAAGTTGCTCTGAAAGGGCTCTGTGAGTGTGAGTAAGACCATGCCTGAGCCTGGGCAGGGAGTGGTGGAGTGGGTCTGTCCGCTTGGGCAGGACTGATCTGAGAGAGGAGTTGGAGAGATCCAGGAGAGGAAGAGAGGATAGGCATAGGTGAGGAACTGGATAGAACTGGGCACGTCTGGTGTGCTGCTGGGCTCCCTCCCTCATTGCTTGGGGGCTCTGGGAAGGGTGGGCAGCTAGCAGGGGGTATGGCTGAAGTGTGAACCCCTGACCTCAGTGGTGTTGGGCTCCAGCAGGCAGTTTAACCAGCCTGACTGCCTTGCTTTTCTCCCATGTACATGGCACCTTCCAGTGCCTTACCGTGCGTTAAAGCAGTCTTACTGGCCTGGTGGTTACACAGTGGGCTGCTAACCACAAGGTCAGTAGTTCGAAACCATCAGCTGCTCCGCTGGTGAGTTATAGTCTCGGAATCTCACTAGGGCAGTTCAGTTCTGTCCTGGAGGATCACTGTGAATTGGCATCACCTCAATGGCAGTAAACGCTGGTGTGTTAGTTTGGGTCAACTAGAGAAATAAATTCATAAACACGCATATGTGTATAAGAAATAATTTTTTATGTAAGAGCAGTTGAATATTGAGAAAACATCCCAGCCCAGTCCAGATCAAGTCCATAAGTCTGATATTAGCCCATATGTCCAATACCAATCTACAAAGTCCTCTTTTGACTCACAAAACACATGCAATGACGCCGAATGCAGGAAGGTCACTGGCCAGTGGGTGGAAAGTCTTGTGGATCCAGTGGCATTGTAAGCATCTCAGCGCTGGCAGGAGACTCTACATGCTTCCTTCACCTTCTAAACTGACTGCCTCAGAGTAGTTTCATGTGGCTTCTCTAAAATGTCTCACAGGGAGTGAGCGTTGTCAGTTGAGAGTCTCCAAGGGAGTGAGCTGAAACAAGTCTCTCCCGCCTCCAAGGAGGAAATTCAGGATTTCCCAGAATTCTCAGGAGAAGGCCATGCCCACACAGAGGCTTCATTGGCTATGACCCGATTGACAGACTAGACTCCACCTCTTCACTCTTAATCCTCTCAAGTCCCAAATTGACACCAGATGATGTAACTCCCACACCGGGGTTTAAACCCATCAGCCGCTCCGAGGGAGAAAGATAAGGTTGTCTGCTCCTGTAAACTGGAGCCTTGGTGGCACAGTGGTTATGTGTTGGGGTGCTAACCTTAAGGTCAGCAGTTTGAAACCACCAGCAGTTCTGCAGGAGAACGATGGGGCTTTTTACTCCCACAAAGAGAATCTTAGAAACCCATAGGGGCAGTTCTACCCTGCTCTATAGGGTTGCTGAGAGTTGGGATCAACTCGATGGCAGTGAATTTTTAGAACTCCTACAAAGACGACTGTCTCAGAACATCGATGGGGGGAGGGGCGTGTTCTATCCTAGCGGGTCAGGGGCAGTTGTGCAAAGCAGTGGTGGATGCATGGCAGAATTCTTGCCCTCCACGTGTACTTTGGGCGTGTCGTCAGGAGAGACCAGTCCCTGGAGAAGGACATCATACTTGGTCAAGTGGAGGGGCAGCGGAAAAGGGGAAGGCCCTGGATGAGTGGGACGGACCCCGTGGCTGCAACCATGGGCTTCAGCCTCAACAATGAGGAGGATGGCACAGGACCGGGCGCTGTTTCCTTCTGTTGGGCATCAGGGTGCTGTGAGCCTGCACTGACCCCACAGCACCTGACAGCCACCACCTGTGGGTGACCTGGGTTGGATTCCTGGCAGCTCCCTGGAAATGCTGCCACCCTCCTCACCGCCCCCCACCCCCACCCCCTCTGGGGAGCCTTGTGTCGGGCTAAGCACAGAAGAGGTTTCAGCAGAGCTTCTTGACCTAAATGAGAGAGGAAGAACTGCCTGGCAATCAGCCTCTGGATCACAGGGGTTCTGCCTGCAGCCGCTCCTCGGATGGCACTGTTTCCTGCTCTTGCGGCCCCGTTGTCCTGAATCTGGGGCCAAGGCAGGCGGCTGAAGCTCGCAACTAACACTCAGTCTGGGTGGTGCCATGAGGAGGGGCCCTGGCGGCTGACTGGGGCTGCCGTGACCCAGGAGCTTGCCTTCCACTGTGTGGGCCCTTGATGCTTGGTGGGTGGAGCGTGCTTCTCCAATGAAGGGAGGCAGACGGATCAGCCCTGGGGTGGAGCATCCCCTTGTAGTGGAGCAGCTTGGGAGCGGGGTGAACACCAGGGCCAGGGCATATAAGGGGTGTAACTCTGCCCCGTGGCTACTACCTTGAGCACCTGGGGGGGCTCCTGGTGGCCTGATCATGCTTGAGTCATGGTCCTCGGCAGCCTGGCCCTGGCCCCCACTGGGGTGCCTTCCAGAGGGTTCCACCACTTCCCAGAGCTGCCTCTTCCTCCACCTGCTGTGCATCCTGGAGTTCCTGGGGCAGGGCTGACTCTCTCTCTCTCTCATACACGCATACATGCACATGCTCACTCTCTTTCTGGCTTGGTATAGGAAGACGATGCTGAATGACCTGCTACGCTTCGACGTGAAGGACTGCTCCTGGTGCAGGTGCGTGTCCTTGGCTCCAGGCCCCCACCATCCCTCATACAACCCCGGAAACACCAGAAGCCTCTTGGAGGGCAGGCAACCCAGCCCTCCCCTGGCCCTCCAGGATGGTGTTACCCAAGTTACAACAGGGCCAAGTCAGGGAGCAGTTCAAGGCCCCTCACTTCTCTCCCAGGGGGGCCTTTGGGCGAGGGCCTGCTGTGGGGCCACACCTGGTGGTTTCCCAGGGGCTCCTTTCATCCTTTGTAGGAGGTGTGGCCTCTGGTGAGCTCCCTCAGACAGATGGGTGGCATGGTCCATACACCTGCCCTCTCTGGGCCTTGTGTGTTTGTGCCTCTTAGCTCCAAGTTGGCTCCACTGTGCCAGGAGCCCCTGGGGCACGGGAAGAGAGGGGTCTCAGGATGGAGAGCCGACAGCCCCCATTCTGCCAGCGTGGCCAACCGACCGAGACCGAGCCCTCGAGGGGCCACTGTCTGGGCGGGGAGTGTGGAGGTCTGTGCAGAGCCTCCTGGTCCCCGCAGGCCTGTCCCAAGGAGCATGGCACTCAGCAGATCGGTAGCTGGACAGCCTGGTGGTTCAGGACCCCAGTCCTGGGGGACCCCCTGGGTCAGTGGACATGATAGTTTACAAAGACAGTGTTCTTTCTAGAGGATGTTTCCAGAAGGTGCTGGGAACATTATCTTTTGGTTCCGTTTTTCACTCACAGAGCTTGGTGATTTAAAAAAAAACAATTTCTATAATGTGCCAGGCAGTACCCAGAAGCACAAAGCACGAGGGGATGCGGGGGGGCTGGCGTATGCCAAGCCCACTATCACCCATTCCCCACCTCTGACCTCAGGGCTTTCACAACTGGGACGCCACCAGCTCCCCGCTACCACCACTCGGCCGTCGTCTATGGGAGCAGCATGTTCGTCTTCGGTAAGCAACCTGTGGGTGGGCCCTGCCCACACACTCTCCTGGCCCCTGGGCCCTGGCCCCGGCCTCCCGCCCGCCCTCCCCCTCAAAGGGTGGGATGGTCTGGGGTTAGTCGGCCTGCTCTCTGTAGGGCCAGGGGACAGTGGTCTGCCTTTCCCGGACCCTAGAGACAGACAGGCAATTGGTGTCCCCCCACCCTGGTGGATGAGAGTCTCAGCAGGCTCCATGTGGCTGCCCCGAGGCCCCCTGAGCTCCATCTCCAGGGGCCTGAAGGCTCTTCGTTGTGCCGCTACCTTTGGGCAGAACTGTTTCTCCTTCTCTCTGCCCAGGGGGCTACACCGGAGACATTTACTCGAATTCCAACTTGAAAAATAAAAACGACCTGTTTGAATACAAGTTTGCAACTGGCCAGTGGACGGAGTGGAAGATTGAAGGACGGTGAGCAGTTCCTTTATGCAGCTCTGGGCCCTAAGGAGCAGGGGAGCTGCCCACCCCCCACCGCTGAGTATCACAGGAGGAGGCTGATGGAGATTGGTTAAAACCAAACAAATGGAACTAGTTGCTATCAGGTGCCCCGTGCCAGGGTTGACATGTACCCCATAGTTTTCCATGGCTAACGGGGCCTGGTTGGCGTAACGGGGAATGCATTGGGCTGCTCTCCACAAAGTCAGCAGTTCAAAACCACCAAGCCGCTCCTTGGGGAGAAGACAAGGCTTTCCACACCTGTAAAGAGTTCCTGTCTCGGAAATTCCCAGGGACAGTTCTGCCCGGTCCTGTGGGGTCACTGTGAGTCGGTGTCCACTTGGCTGGCAGCGAGTTTTCGGGTAGTAGCTCTCCAGGCCTTGCTTCTGACAGGCCTCTGAGTGGACTCAGGATGCTGCTCCTTTGAGCTTGTTCCCTGCCCACACCACCTGGGAAATCCCTGCCTCCCAAGGCCTGCCTCTCTGCAGAGACTAGGAGAGACAGGTCGCTGATGGGTATCCCCAGTCTCGCCTGCTGCAAGCTCCCCCCTGCGTCGTTCTTAGCCACTTGGAGGGGTTCTGGAGCTGCCAGGATGCCCAGATCATTCTAGGGCAGTGGTGCTCCACCGTCCTAATGCCGAGACCCTTTAATACAGTTCCTCATGTGAAAAAAAAAAAATACAGTTCCTCATGTGGTGGTGACCCCCAGCCATAAAATGATTTTCGTTGCTACTTCTTCACTGTCATTTTGCTACTGCTTTGAATCGGATGACCCCTGTAAAAGGGTCATTCGACCCCCCAAGGGGTCGCGACCCACAGGTTGAGAACCGCTGCTCTAGAACAGTGTGTCAGTGACCACAAAGTGAAGGAACATCATTCATCATCCAGAGTGGTAGGTAGTGGTACCTTAGTGGGGGACCAGCCACCTATGTTGTCTCCCAGGCCCAGCCTGAGGGCGCCCTCAGAGCCTGGGGGTCAGCCACCATGGGGTCCCAGGCAGGGTCTTGCACAGCATGCTGGGAGGTGAGGCTGTGAGAGTGGGGTGCATGGACAGCCTGGCTCCCTCACTCCTGTCCCCGTCCCCCCTACACCCATAAACCAGGTTGCCAGTTGCCAGGTCCGCACATGGCGCCACCGTGTACAATGACAAGCTCTGGATCTTCGCCGGCTATGACGGCAACGCCAGGTAGGGACCCGCCCAGTGTGCCCTGCTTCTGCTCGGACCCCGAGGGTGGGGGAGTGGGACAGGCCATCCTGGCCAGGAAAGGGAAACCCTAGGGGTTTGTGGTTTGAATGCCACTTGACCTGCCCAGGGGTCTTTGGGGAGGGTGGGGTGGCAATTGGTTCTCTTGGCAGGCCGAAAGGATCCCCACCCGATATCAGCAGGGCTGGGCCCCATCAGTCCTCTGACGGGAGGGCATTGAGGCCAGCCTGTGTGTGTGTCCCTAGCTCAAAGGAGCCAGAACCCAACAGTCTGAGAGAGAGAGAGAGCAAGACAATGAAGGCCCCATCAAGGAGGGGCCCTGAGGACTGGTGGGCAGTAGGCAGCCTCTAGACCCCTGCTTCTGCCCCAAGGACTCCCCTCCTTGTAGTAGAAAACCGGCTTTACTGCCCTTCTCATTGTGCTTATTATTTGTAACCTGATTGTGAACTGGGGGACGGTTACTGAGCCCTCGCAGCACTGTGGCTTAGCATTGGGCTGCTTGCTACAAGGCTGGTCGGTCGTTCAAACCCACCAGCCACTCCGAGGGAGAAAGAGGAGGCCGTCTGCGTCTGTAAAGACTCACCCTATGGGTCACTCAGAGTCCACCTGCCTGATGGCGATGGGCTTGGGGTACAAGGTGACACAGCAGATGAGTTTCCATTGAACGGTTCAAACACATCCTGTTTTTTGGTTGCCGATCAAAGGATCAAAGTCCCCACAGTAGTACATGGCTCATCCCCGCCAAAGACCCCTGGGCTCATTCCCCATTTGTTCCCCTCCCCCTGCATTTATGTTTATTAGCTTGTTTAATTACCTTATTAAAGTGTTACATATGTATGTATATATATGTTTTTGTTGTTGTTGTTGGGGATGACTTGTTTGTCACCGAGACACTGACAGTCCATTTAAGGCCACTAGAGGGATCATCAACCATGATAACCTGTTCAGCCTTCCGTCCCCCCAGGCCCCCATTCCTTGTCCCTTCCTTATGCTCCTGCACTCTGCCCACGAGTGAATGTTCTGCCACATGCGGTCACAAAAACGGGGCGCCAGTCCCCAAACCGTAGCATCGAAGGACCCCTGCTGGAGGTGGCTCCACTAAGCATGTCACAGCCCAAGGGCTCAATAGCTCTCTTCGGTGGAAGCTTCTTCCGAGCGCCCCCTCGTCCCTCCCTGACTACAGCTTCAGTGGTGAGGGCCAGCCAGCAGTGATGGCCACCCAGTGGTGATGGTCACCTTCCGCCCCAATGCAGATTGAACGACATGTGGACCGTCGGCCTCCAGGACCGGGAGCTCACATGCTGGGAGGAGGTGAGGGTGCCCCGCGGGGGTAGGGGGGACCAGGCTGGCTGCCTCCACCCCTAAGCCTAGTCCCTTCCCAGCCCCCCCACCCCCCTCCCCCGCCCCGCTGTGCTCGAGCACACTATTTGGGCCTAACCTCTGTTTTCCACTGTCCTGGTCACTGGTGTCCCCAAGTCCCTTAGCCTGTAGCACCATTGTTCCGGATCTGGCCAAAGATGTTCCGTCTCCTCCTGGCCAGGAGGTCAGCCCCAGCAGGACACACCTGCAGCCACCCTGTGGCCAGAGGGCGGGCACACCCAGCCACCCACGGAAAGGTTAGGACTTAGAATCCACCTAGTGGTGCTTGGAAGAAAGGCCTGGTAATCTGCTCCCCCAACCCCAGCCCCTGGGAACCCTGTGGAGCCCAAACCTGCTCCATGGGCCCAGAGGTGATGTGAGCCCCGGTTGACTTCTGACTCCCCTGCCTGTGAGCTGGGGCGGGGAAGAAAGCTCTTCCCCCATCTAGGAACTTGCTGTGAAGAAAATTCATGGGCCAACCTTCATCTGAGGAGAGGGGGCCCTGGTGGCACTGCGGGTTAAGCGTGGCCCCCTGAACTTGGAGGGGAAAGCTGAGGCTGGCTGTTCCCTGGAAAGTGCTGCAGTCTCAGAAACCCCAGGGGGTGGCTCCACTCTGCCCTAAAGGGTTGTATTGAGTCCGACTGCCCTTGATGGCCGTGGATTTGAGTGGTCTTACCCAGGGCCACCTCCAGGCCACCATCAGAGCCCCATCCTGGAAGGGCCCAGGCTGAGCAGGCCCACGTTCCCCTCCCCCCACCCGCAGGTGGCCCAGAGTGGCGAGATCCCCCCTTCCTGCTGTAACTTCCCTGTGGCCGTGTGTCGAGACAAGATGTTCGTGTTCTCGGGCCAGAGCGGGGCCAAGATCACCAACAACCTCTTCCAGTTTGAGTTCAAGGACAAGACGTGAGTGCGCTGGTGGGGGTGGCACCGTGTGAGTGGGGACCCTGGGCGGGCGTCCGCTGCCACAGTCCACCCCAGACTGCTGGATACACACACACTCTCGCCCCCCTCCCCCCCAGGACTGTACTCAATTGTCTCTGCTGTGGTCAAGAAAGCCAGAGGGCCGGGGTCAGCTGAGTGGGCACCCAGGACAGTTAGCCAGGCTGTGACTGCTGTGTGGGCAGTGCCCGAGTGGGCAGCACATAGACTCCAGGCTCCAGCGACAGCCACTGTGAGCCTGAAGTTAGGCTTTCTGGGTAGGAGCGTTGTGGGCATTGTATTGCGGGTAGGTCTGCAGCCGCCCATCCCTGCCGTCCCCCCAGGTGGACTCGGATCCCCACAGAACACCTGCTCCGGGGCTCCCCGCCGCCCCCACAGCGGCGCTACGGGCATACCATGGTGGCCTTCGACCGCCACCTCTATGTGTTCGGGGGCGCAGCCGACAACAAGCTGCCCAACGAGCTGCACTGCTATGATGTGGACTTCCAGACCTGGGAGGTGGTGCAGCCCAGCTCGGACAGCGAGGTGGGTGCTAGCCTCGCCTGTCTCAGAGCGCCCACGGGCCTTTCCTCGCGTGCCAGGTCTCCTGGTGCTGCTCCTCATCCACAGACGGTACCACCCCCTGCCGCAGCCCCACAGCCCTCTGCTTGGGACTGGGGCTGGTCTCATGCTCCTCCCCCCTCTCCCAAGGTTGGCGGGTCGGAGTTGCCAGACCGAGCGTCTGCCTCTGAGGAGGCCTCAGCCCTGGCTCCCGAGGAGCGGGGCGGCTTTAAGAAGTCCCGGGATGTGTTCGGCCTGGACTTTGGCCCTATGACAGCCAAGCAGCCCACCCAGCCTGCCTCGGAGGTGAGGTGTCCCTGAAACCCCAACACCCCAACCTCTTGGCAGAGTCGATTAGTTCACTCCCAAACTTCAAAAAAAAAAAAAGAACAAAAAACATCACTGCTGACTCAGAGTGACCCTACAGGACAGGGTAGAACTGCCCCTGTGGGTTTCCGAGACTTTACAGCAGGCCAGATCTGCCTCCCTCGGAGGGGCTGGTGGTTTCGAACTGCTACCTTGCAGTTAACAACCCAATGCGTAATCAACTTGCTCCCTGCCCCAGCTGCCCAGCGGGAGGCTCTTCCACGCGGCCGCCGTCATCTCTGATGCCATGTACATCTTCGGGGGCACCATGGACAACAACATCCGCAGCGGGGAGATGTACAGGTTCCAGGTGTGGGCGTGGGGTCTGCTGGGCATGTGGTGGTCTGGGCTGCAGGCCAGAGTGGTGGTACCAGCTCTGGGACAGGCGGGGGGGGGGGAGGCAGGAGGCTGTAGACCCTTGGGCCTGAGGCCTTGGGGTGCCCCTATTTGTCATGAGGAGCTGGCTGTTTGGGGGCCGATGCCAGCCGAGGGACAGATTGGCTAACTCTGGCACTGCCGGCCCCACTTGCCCGCAGTTTTCTTGTTACCCCAAGTGCACGCTGCATGAGGACTATGGGCGACTGTGGGAGAGCCGCCAGTTCTGCGACGTGGAGTTCGTCCTGGGTGAGGTGGGTGCCCAGCCAGTTTGGGGGCTGGAGGCGGGATTAAGGAGCCTGTGCTGGGGCGTCCTCCACCAAAGCCCGCATGTGTTTCAGAAGGAGGAGTGCGTGCAGGGCCACGTGGCCATCGTCACGGCCCGGAGCCGCTGGCTGCGCAGGAAGATTGCGCAGGCTCGAGAGAGGCTGGCCCAGGTGAGATGCGGGACGGCAGGGGTGGGGGGCGCCCTCGCCCCGCCCCCGTGGCCTGCCCCAAGCCCACCTGCGGCGCCCTGGCCTTCCCTCTCCTCCTGACAGAAGCTGGAGGAGGAAGCCGCCCTGGGCCCGGGGGAGGCTGCTGGCGGGGTCGCGGGGGTCGGCCGGCCCCCGCTGCTGCCTGTGGCCATCCCGGAGGCCGAGGCCCGGCCCTTCGAGGTGCTCATGCAGTTCCTCTACACCGACAAGATCCAGTACCCGCGCAAAGGTCCGGGCCGGGCCTGGCGGGGTCGCGGGGGTCGGCCGGCCCCCGCTGCTGCCTGTGGCCATCCCGGAGGCCGAGGCTCGGCCCTTCGAGGTGCTCATGCAGTTCCTCTACACCGACAAGATCCAGTACCCGCGCAAAGGTCCGGGCCGGGCCGGGCCGGGCGGGGCGGGGCGGCAGGGCGTGGCCGCGGCCACCCTGACAGGCCCCCTGGGCGGTGCCTGCGTGCAGGTCACGTGGAGGACGTGCTGCTCATCATGGACGTGTACAAGCTGGCCCTGGGTTTCCAGCTGTGCCGGCTGGAGCAGCTGTGCCGGCAGTACATCGAGGCCTCCGTGGACCTGCAGAACGTGCTGCTTGTGTGCGAGAGCGCCGCCAGGTTGCAGCTGGGCCAGCTGAAGGTGCTGGGGGCCCGGGAGGGGACACCCTACCCCTGTCTGCATGGTCCCCACCTGAGCCTTACCACCTTCCCCCGTCTCCAGGAGCACTGCCTGAACTTCGTGGTGAAGGAGTCCCACTTCAACCAGGTGATCATGATGAAGGAGTTCGAGGGCCTCTCGTCCCCACTCATTGTGGAGATCGTGCGGCGGAAGCAGCAGGCACCCTCGCGTACCCCTTCAGATCAGCCTGTGGACATTGGTAGGGGAGGGGCACTGCCGCCCTACACTCCTCCTCCCCTCCCCCCGGGGTGGGGCCTGGCTTGCTGCCTAGTTACCATGGGGGCCCTCAGATGAGGGAGCAACAGTGGCACCACAGATGTCTCCCCAGCATGCCCACGGCTCTGCCTGGCCACAGGGCTGGCCCTAGCAGGCTGGGGGGTGGGTATAGTGAGTCTTGAGGCCCTGGCTGGGGTGGAGACAGGGCCCATTCTGGCTGGTGAGCAGGGTCAGATCTGATGGCTTCCAAGCTTGGTGATGTGGGCAACCAGGGCAGGAGCCATCTTTCCGGGGCCCAGTGAGAGGTACACACAGACTGCAGACCCCACCTGCACCGGCCCCTCCTGACCTGTGACAATTGTAGGCTCTGAGGTCTCCGGGCCCCAGGGGCTCCCATGCTGGCCACAGCCAGGGGCCATGGGCTCCACAACCAGGCAAGGAGAGTACAAAGTCACATGTGAGGGCTGAGAAGTCCAGGGCCTGGGGTGGCCTCGTGCAGGGGATGGGGTGGACAGCTGTGCAGGGACACAGGGCCTGTGCGGGCCCAGGAGGATGGTCTGGATGGAGGTCTGCTCAGGCCTGTGGCCCCACCCTTAGGAACATCACTGATCCAGGACATGAAGGCCTACTTGGAGGGGGCGGGGGCGGAGTTCTGTGACATCACGCTGCTGCTGGATGGGTCCCCGAGGCCAGCCCATAAGGCCATCCTGGCTGCCCGCTCCAGGTAGGTGCCGGGCAGGGTAGGCAGGGGTGGGCTGGGGACTGGCCGCTGGTCCCGCTAGCTGAGCCCCCTGCCGGCACCCTGCCCGCAGCTACTTTGAGGCCATGTTCCGCTCCTTCATGCCCGAGGACGGGCAGGTGAACATCTCCATCGGGGAGATGGTGCCCAGCAGGCAGGCCTTCGAGTCAATGCTGCGCTACATCTACTACGGCGAGGTCAACATGCCGCCCGAGGACTCTCTGCATCCTTGCTTAGCCCCCAGCACTACCCCCCATTCCACCCTGGTGCCCGCGGGGGTAGGGGTGTGGCGGGGATGGGGGTGGGGTTGCAGTTGGGAGACGGCTGGGAGCCTGACGGCCAAGCACAGGATGTGGCCTTGCAGGCATTTAGTGGGGGCCCAGGCATGAGGTCCCCGGGACATCCCGCAGGAGGCCAAGGCGTAAGGACCTGCTTCTGAAGGGAGGGTTCTGTGCCACTAAGTGGATCAAACCCTTTGCTTTCAGAAGATGGACTCAGCTGAGATTGAAACCCAGTCCCTATTCCCCCAGGCCCTGGGCCATCACCCTGGTTCTGGGATGCTCATTGGTGGTCCAGGGGAGGGGTGGGAAGGGCCCCTTTCTGGCAGTTCCTTAACCTGCCCCAGCTACTTGTTTGCTGCTCCATACTACTACGGCTTCTACAACAACCGGCTGCAGGCTTACTGCAAGCAGAACCTGGAGATGAACGTGACGGTGGAGAATGTGCTGCAGGTAAGCCGCCCGCTGGCCAGGGCTATCCCTCTTCCCAGTGCCACTGGAGTCTCAGGCTCAGGCACCTGCTCTTCCAGATCCTGGAGGCCGCCGACAAGACGCAGGCACTGGACATGAAGCGCCACTGCCTACATATCATCGTGCACCAGTTCACCAAGGTCAGCCTGGCAGTGGCACAGTGGGGCAGGCCCTGGGACAAGCAGTGGCTGAGCCCCCTGTGGCCTGCCCTGGGGGCTTTCCTGAACCTTCCCTGCGGTCACTCCTGCAGGTCTCCAAGCTGCCCACACTACGGTTGCTGAGCCAGCAATTGCTGATTGACATCCTTGACTCCTTGGCCTCTCACATCTCTGACAAGCAGTGTGCAGAGCTGGGCGCAGACATCTGAGGCCCCCACGAGGCAGGCACTAGCCGATGGGGCAAGAGTGGCCCAGAGACCCCGAAGAGAGCTGAGGGGTGTGTGTGTGTGTGTGTGTGTGTGTGTGTGTGTGTGTGTGTGTGTGTGTGTGTGTGTGTGTGTGAGAAACCACATTCCACTGTTGAGGACATGGTCCCAGGTCCCATGCCTAGCCACACTCAGCTGAGGGTCAGTGGAGGGTCTTCCTGGCTGTTGTCCACTCGGGGGAAGAGTCTGGTGTTGGTCTTGCAGACCCTGAGAGGAAGCAGGGTGGGGGTGGTCTGTGCATGGCCACTCACCCCGTCTGGCCGGACCAGTGAACCAGAGATGAACTATAGATGGTTGGGGACTGGCTCCAGGGGGGCTTGCTTTGCACCCCACTCAGTGTCCACTTGTCACAGGCAAGCCACAGTAAAGGCCAGCAGAGCTGAACACCCACTTCACCGCGTCTGTCTTCACCTGTACCCACCCTCTGGAGGGTCAGCTCAGCAGGGTCTCATGTAAGGCAGGCTGGCCGGCCTTGACCCGGCTGAGAAGTGGGGCACAGCCCCTCCCCTCCACCAGTACCTTGCAGAGGCCATGGGAGTGTTCAAGAAGCAGACCCAGCAAAGTCTGGCTCGTCCCTCTGGGTCTTTTTGCAACAGCCCTCACCGAAGGGGTTCTGACAACTGTACAAGATTCTCTGGCCAAGCTAGTTGGGACACTGCCTGGGGACAAAACGATGAGCTAGGGGAGATGAGGTGGCCAGTAGGAGGTGCTGTGGTACAACTCTCTTCACTGAGGGGAGATCTGGGGGGGCAGCAGCAAGCCCCAGGCAAAAGGTGATGGAGGAGGTGGGGGTGATTGCTGGGGGGTGGGGAGGGGGCATGCAGAGGCCCAGCATGGGTCCTTCATGGAGGAGAGGGGCTATACATCATGCCCTGCACCCAGGACCCTACTGGATGCTGGTCTCCACACCTCGCCCCTTTCCAGGAGGCACCTGGAAGCTGTACCCACCCTGAAAGTCTGCACTCACTAGACCCTCAAGCACCTCTAAAGGTGACTGAATAGAGACCCACCAAGATCACCCACCCCCACCAGCCCGTTTCCAGGAGTCTAGAACTGCGTGTGTGCTCGCACCTCTCTACCCCACCACCACAGTGCAAAGCCTTTGGGGCTTGTGTGTCTCAGGTGGAGACTGCCCTGCCCCATAGACTGGCCTGTGGTTAGAATGGGGACACACGTGCCATGGGCAGTCAGGCCTGGGCGCTGGGAGTGCTTCCAGAGGGCCAGCTTGTTTCAGTCAAGGCCATTTCCCACCCCAAGGACAGGGTGCCTGTGGCTGCTTTGGCCATACTACCACCCTGTCCTCCTCCAGGAGCCCTGGTGGCCCACTGGTTAAAGTGTTGAACTACCAACCACAAGCTGCTCCTTGTGACCCGGCTGGATGCTGCTGGGAACACTGACAGCCTCCTAAAACTGTCAGACCGGGTCTCTGCTCTGTCCGGTGACTGAGTGGGAACCGACTTGATGGCACTGGGTTTGGTTTGGAGCTTCTAGTCTTTAGATTCCTGCAGGGCAGGTACCAGTCTCCACCCTGGAGCCCTCACCTTCTGGATACATGCTGGCCTCCCACCCATGCAGTGCCGAAAACAAGCAGCAATACAACAAGGGTGTGCGTGTGTGTGTTTCTGGGCTTGGTGGCCTGTGCTCCAGCCCCGCCATTCTCTGGGGAATGAATGGGACTGGTGATTGTGGAGGTACAGCCCCATCAGAGCCAGACAGTGGGGCTCTCGCAAGCAGCCACTTTATTGTGGTGTCTGGCCAAGTCTGGGGGACACAGCTCAGTTCAGGTCCCTCTGGTCGGAAATGCAGGGCCCTGGTGGATGTTGCCTGTTGGCCCGCTGCCCGTCTCAGGCCACACTGCTGCCCAGCTGCATGGCGAAGTCTTGCACATGCTCCTTCAGAGTCTCACGGGCGTCTGCCTGGGCCCGCTTCTCCCGAGCCCGCTCTTGCTGCAGCTTGGTCAGTCGCAGCCGTAGCCGCTGCTCCCGCCGCTTACAGGCCTGCAGCTGGCGCTGGGCCTTGTCTAGGGCATCGAGGGCCGCCTCTGCCCGCCGCTTCCAGAGTAGGGCACTGCCCACTTGGTAGCTGTGTTCACTCTGGATGTAGGCCCCTGCAGGCGGTGGCAGGCGCAGCATGTAGGCCGAGGGCGAGACAGGCCGAGGCTCCAGAGGGGAGGGCTGCCGCTCCGGCTCACGCTCTGGGGAGGGCTGGGTGCTGCAGCCAGCTTCATCTGCCTGGGCGCCCAGGGGTCCCAGGAGGTCTGAGAAGGAGCTGCCGAGGCCTGGCTCCAGCCTTCCAGCGGGGGAAGCCGGCAGAGCTGCCGGAGCAGAGGCCTCTTCCACGGGGAAGCAGGGAACGTCCACAGGAGGGGGTGGAGAAAACGGAGCTGTGGGTCCCCGGCTCTCAGAGCACCTGGATGACGGCGAGAGGGAGCCTGACAGGCCAAGTGAAGGCTGTGCCAACCCCCCTTCACCAGCCTTCCAGGAAGACCCCCTACACATTCAGGCCCCAAACACTATTCTTGTCACATAGGCACGGACCCCTAAACCCCATCCCTGGGGACAGGTGACCAAGTGGCACATACCGTTTCCTGCATAGCTGGAGCCGGCTGAGGTCAAGAGGGCTGAGGGAGTAACTTCGGGCCTTGGTCTTGGAGGCCCGGCGTGACTTGGAGAAAGATTCGAATATGGTGGGGACTGCCCCCTCCTTCAGCCTGTGATACCCACTGTGGGCGAAACAGCCTGAATGAGTGGCGAGCAAGTGCCTGAGGCAGACCAGTCCTGGGCATGCTTATGGGGGCATCAGCCAGCACCGTGGCC